CCCTCGCCCAAAAAAATCACGGCTCAGCTAAGCAAAAACCAATAGAAGCTTAAGAAATTGTCATATGTGATAGAAAAAGTAGTTTGACGCAGCAAAAAGAGCGCGATCAGATTTACAATGACCAGAAAGTATTTCGCGCATCTTTCCGTACGAATTTACACACTCACTTTTCGGGCACAAAGCTGAATTGCTAGGGGATCGAGACTGTTCTCCTTAAGGTCACTTGGCGGACCGAGCTTCAAGGTGACAATATCGGCCAGTTCTGTCCGTGTGTAAGGCACAAAGGTCAAGTGCGCTGGTTTGTGAGTTTTCGATTTCAGTTTGGGAAGACGCTCGGGCAGATCGAGGGCATTCGCGATACCAATCACGATGATGTGACACTTCAACGTTTCGGGCCAGTTGAAAATTCTGAGTGGCAATGGATGGGGTGGGGAGAGACAGAGAGAGAAATGGTGTGAACCACATATAATGATAACATTTTAAAATACGGATAAGTTTTTTATTGAAATTTACAGAATTTATGAGCTAAGGCATAATGAGCTGAACCAATAAATAAGCATCTGCAAGTTTGTAGACGAAAACAGGTGACGATGAGAGCTAGCTAAAACACTGAGGCTACCTTCACCTCTGTGTATCAATAGTTAGCACCTCAGAACTTGTGGATGAAATTTCCTATCGTTCTATTCAGAAATATTGGTGGAATAACCGGACAAACGATTCCATGGTGAGAATGGGGCTTACGTACTCGTGAGTGCCCAATCCCTATAAATTAGTGGTTGGAGTATTCCTTACGTGTCACAGGAGAAAACTTTTCCGTGAATTATGCTCGTGAAAGCAGATTGTAGTGGTTTGATCTTTCTCTAGCCGGAAGATACGAAAACTTTGATCGGTAGACTTTGCCAGTTGGGAAGGGACCTTGGACCAGCCTAATCGGTGATTGGACTGACTATTGTGAGCATTGGCATTCGTTACTATCCCAATCACTCTTTCCACTCCTTTGACTGTCTAAGCAAATCTAGTGTTCCCCGTGGCTAACCAGTCTTTGGTAGCGATATTTCGGACGACAACTCATCATCGCTCTCGGCTATCGGTCATGTTTAGTGAGTAGTACAAAAGCGTGTCCCAAAGGCCAGTCAGTAAAGTCATTCGGTCAGAAAACGTTATGACAAAGTTTCTAAAGCGAGGAAGAAGCAGTGTTAACTGGATTAGGGGCTATCAGGACCGAATGATGTCAGGAGTGTACCGAAAAATCGATGCGCCATGTGTTGTGTTTATTGTAAACCTGCCCTGAGGAAGGTTACCCACGGTAACCGAAACGTCGACGAATATAATTATCAATCCGACATCGCTGAGTTAGTAACATTATAGCATTCACAATGGAGTAGCGCTAATTTAAACGTTCATCGCTTTTGGTGGTAGGCAGCTCTGTCGTCCGGTTCAATACCACGCCTAACCTATCGGGACCTCATGTGGTTCGCCCCATTCCAAGTCTCGGGGATTAGGTTGCCGGTTTCCACCAGTGAACAACAGGTCCTCGTGACTATGGGGTTCACCTCGTCTGCTCTTAATCACACGTGAGTGTGTAATAAAAAATGGCTTAGTGACGGTATAGCACTTTCATCATGTTACTGCTATCAGTATATTGTTTAATTTTATTCTCCTATGGAACGACCAACCGGGTACGCAAAAGACAGTCACGTATGGAGAGGAGCTCCGTACTTCGCTCTTTCTCTCCTCAACCTCTAACGTAAAGGCCACGCGGTTGATTGACGAACCGTATTCAAACAGTAATCTGCAGTCACTTCCCCATCGTTGGGCAGTTGCTTCTTCAGTGGTTCCCCTCCCCTGGACTGTTGCTCGTCTATTTCGTTCTCAAACGGGCAGTCACCCTTATCAGGTTTCTGTCCCCCGGTCGGAAAACTTTTATTTACCAGTCTCCTTTCTTCCCCAAGACTGCAAAATTGTGGAACATTCTTTCCATATCCGTGTTTCCGAGTTCCTATAGTCGTTATCTTTTCAAAAACAGGATTAACAAATTGATTCTCACTTGAACGTCCCCCCCCCCACACACATTCCCCTCGTAGTATATCATTGACTATGGGGTTTACTCCTTTTGCTGTAAATCACTTCGTGTGTAATAAAAAAGATGGTAATCGGAAATGAAATGTGGTTACACATATGGGGACTGATTGAGTATGCAAATACATGTTGGGTGAGAATGAATTTCAAATGAAACATTATTTACGGATTGATCAGGATTTAAACAAACTCAAGTTTGTCAACATGTACTCATTCCGTAAGACAGAACGAACAACGGGTGGATTCCCACAATAACTCTAAGGCATTGAAAATAATGTGAAACGACTGTCGCTCGGGATGTGGATGTTGGTGTGTTCTCCGAGCTGGAAGTGTTGTTCGCAGACGCTTAGTAGCCAGGCTAGGCAACATCATCAGTGCAACCTCGGGGAAGGACTCAGTTCAGATGGGGAAGATGTTTTCCAAATGGGTACCTGAAAGGGACTGGCGCTTCCTCGAAGTTGCACTGATGACGATGATCAGTCTGGCTACGAAACATCTTCGAACAACACTTACACCTCGGAGAACAAACCACCACCAAAATTCTAAGGCATTTCACCCAAATTGTCAATAAAATTATTGTCGAAACTGGTGATCAATAACCCTTTAAGTATGTGACTTTGCAATAATAGTAATGCAAACAATCGAACTAAATTGCTGATCTTAACCACCTCTGTTGAATAATCATCCTGATCAGTTGGATCGAGGTACGTACCGATACAAGATATCTTGAGATTGGCTGACGAGCTGATCAACTTCATCCAGAATCAGCACAAGAGTTCCTCGATTTACAAGTCGATTGATAGTGTCCTCAAACGATTTAACATTGAATGCAGTGCAGCTGTTCTCTGAGTTTGAACGTCGTAGAGTTTGAATCAGATGGGAATATATCATCGATGCAGATCGTAATTGCATACAATTGATCAGAGCCACACGGCAGCCAAAAGCTTTTTCAAGTAGATGTGTCTCATGAAGAACTACGGCAGTCTTTCCGGTTCCCGGGGCGCCACTAATATACAGAGTAGCGCTTCTTCGTTCTTCGATAGCCGATCGAATGAAGTCCCGCACGGCGGAACGCTCAGTAACTCGACCGACCATCTCTGGAAGTTGCGAATCCGGATTGCATAGTTCTATCGCTTTTGAGGGTTTCGCAAAGGAATTACTTTCAACAGTCGCAGTGCAGTCCTCCTCGGTTGACTTTTTCCGGTTCTTTACTGAGCCATCTGACTTATTCGATAGTTGGGAATATCTGCGAGACTGTGACGGTGCTTTTATGTGCTGAATAGTGGTGCGTTTAGATCGGATAACCTCGAGACATTCTGTTGCATTTGCTTTGGCATAGGATCGCAATGTTGATCGACGAGATGGAGGAACCATGAATGGACTAAAACAATCAGACCGTTTTTGATCAATAAAAAGGTGACTAGATAAAAAGTAATAGATAAGCCTTCAGAATAACGATTACTAAAAAAATATAATCCTTTTTCACCGCACAAGGGGTAGCGACACGAAATTAACAATAAAACCTCTGTAAATTTTAAGACGAATACGGTCAGGGAAGAATCAGTAGGTCCATAATATGAGAAGGGGTTTAAAAGCCGTTTGAAAAGCGCTAGTCTTGTACTGTTTGTCATGTTGTGGTTAAATATCGATAAATATAACCCTGCCTGGCCTGGGCAACCGGCAGTATTCAGCCCACAAGCAAATCATGGAACGTGTTTCTTTTTCATAAAGATTATCGTATCATGATTTGTTTAGCACACAGTCTGGATTCAGATGTGTGTGAAATAT